AGGATTGTCGATGCGCGGAAATGAACTGCGCATGCGCCACCCGATAGCCGCCATTTTGCCATGGATCATAGGCAGTGAGCTGTATAAACTGACAGCCACTGCTAGAGGGATGTAAAACAGGGCACATAAGACTAGTGCCGATTACCCGGGGCTGATGACAGGACCGTGATTGATCCGATCCGAGTAATAATCATCCGATCTGACCTCCCCCCGGGCAAGTGTCCAGGAATATAAGCCACTATTTAAAGGAGGGGAGATATCCAGGTATATAAAGCCAATACTTAAAGGTATATAAGCAAAGTGCCCCAGGAACTATTTAACCCCCTTTTTGTCGTCCATAAGGGTAATTACATCAACTCCTCAACGTATACTGTTATATCCATGGCATAGGTGCTAGAGTGGATTATCCATATATAAACATATAGTAAAATAAATAAACATTATTTATGCGAAAGCAACCTCCATATTAAAAAGTTTCTAAAACGCACATAGGTATTCGAAAAATGCACACAAATATTGAAAACGCACACAGATATTGAAAAAAGGTGGTATTTCCTGTTGACATAAATTCTTATCGTGAGTCACCAATTGTCGTGGATCATAAACCGTAACCAGTAACCAAGGGTACTCCACATCCAGATGCCCGTCCATTAGAAATCGGATTGCACCAAACGTGGTGAACCCCCCTGCTAAATTGACCTTTTTCAATGAATTGAAGGGATTCTACCCATGTAATAAGTGCATTATATGTAGGTGTGACAATACCCGTAAACGGAGGATTGATACGTTTACCTCATCATCAACTGGGAAATCTTATGATATCAAGCAATTCATAACATGTCATAGTAAATTTGTGGTCTACCTTCTTAGTTGTCCCTGTAAGAAACAGTATGTAGGACGGACAACCAGACGCCTACGGGACCGCCTACGTGAACATGTGGCGAACATAAGGAAAGGCTACAAAGATCATTCGTTATCCAACCACTATAGGCTTTTCCATAATAAGGATCCTACCTCATTAAAATTTATGGGTATAGAGGTAATATCTCCGCATTGGAGGGGACTCCATAAGGCTAGAACTGTTTCTCAGGCAGAGACCCGTTGGGTCTAGGAATTAGGTACCCTTTACCCTCATGGACACAATGTTGAGGTGGATATAAACTGCTTCATTGCTAATAGCTAAGACAATGATATATTCCCCATCGTGTTCAACCACATGCCTTGATATATGGTTAAAATTTTTTATTTACATTTTTACATTTTTATTTTTATTCATTTTTACTTTTACGCTTTCAAGTTTTCATCTATATAAATTTTTTTTTATATTTTTATATATTTTTATAGATTTATATTTCGTTTCTTCATATTTTCTGTATCTCTAGGATATGGAGCTATAGAAATATATGTATGTGTACCAATTGTCTATAGAGTGCTTTTCCTGAACTTTAATAGTATGTAGCATCTGGATGTGGAGTACCCTTGGTTACTGGTTACGGTTTATGATCCACGACAATTGGTGACTCACGATAAGAATTTATGTCAACAGGAAATGCCACCTTTTTTCAATATCTGTGTGCGTTTTCAATATTTGTGTGCATTTTTCGAATACCTATGTGCATTTTAGAAACTTTTTAATATGAAGGTTGCTTTCGCATAAATAATGTTTATTTATTTTACTATATGTTTATATATGGATAATCCACTCTAGCACCTATGCCATGGATATAACAGTATACGTTGAGGAGTTGATGTAATTACCCTTATGGACGACAAAAAGGGGGTTAAATAGTTCCTGGGGCACTTTGCTTATATACCTTTAAGTATTGGCTTTATATACCTGGATATCTCCCCTCCTTTAAATAGTGGCTTATATTCCTGGACACTTGCCCGGGGGGAGGTCAGATCGGATGATTATTACTCGGATCGGATCAATCACGGTCCTGTCATCAGCCCCGGGTAATCGGCACTAGTCTTATGTGCCCTGTTTTACATCCCTCTAGCAGTGGCTGTCAGTTTATACAGCTCACTGCCTATGATCCATGGCAAAATGGCGGCTATCGGGTGGCGCATGCGCAGTTCATTTCCGCGCATCGACAATCCTCGGCAAAATGGCGGCTATTCGCGCATGCGCAGTTCCTCGTTTCTGCTTCTGAACGATAGAGCGGGATTTGTGCGCATGCGCGAACCGCATTTAAATAGGAAGTCTTTCCTGTCACACTGCTAGTGGCGTCCACCCTCTGATGAAGTGCCGCGGCACGAAAGGCCTCAGGAGGAGCCAGTAGCGAGTGTGACTTCCTGACCACTGATACCACGAGGAGGTCCGGTGGTCTTCCATTTTTACCTTTGCCGGGTTAGTGCATGTATTATTTATTTATTCTTTTTCCTCACTTACCAGTCCACCTGATCGCTGACGGTATTTGTTATATGCATGTGACCCTGGCTAGTATTACTATTGATCCAATAAAAGTTTTGAACATACTACACTATTGGCATTCCCTTTCTTGACCCTCTTGTTGGAGGGTTCCAGATTTGCAGCAGCCAATTCTTGGGGTACCTGTAACCAGGAGAGGGATCTCAATCCACCTTATCCCTTGGGGCAAGAGGGCTCTCTGGACCTGGAGGTATATCACTGCACCCAAGGCTGATGTCGTTACTTGAGAGGGATGACCAATGTGTTTTGCTGATCTGCATGCCTGACCGATCATCTGGATAATATTGCATACATGCGCATTTAAAATGCGCGGTCGGTGAGTGCGCATTTTTTCTATTTTGATTCCAGTCATCTAATGATGAAGAGACCTTCACATGTTCTTTGCTCACGATCACCTTTATTGTGTAAAGGACTATATGAACTTTTATTTATATATATTTTATATTAGTATTACAGCGCTGCACTATATATATTATTCTTGTTACAAGGTCCAGTGATTCCTTAGAGTGTTCCAGCAGCTGATCTTTGAGCGCTCGCTTTATCTTTATCCTATACCCTATGCAAGTCCACCCAGAGAATAATGTCCATGCAGACTGGGAAATGGTCACATAGAATGCGTGTTGTAATTGAGGCCGCTCGCATTTTAGTTAGGTCAGAGTGGCAGATAAGAAATAATCAATTCTAGGGTACAATCTACGTATTGTCAAAAAGTATGAGTAATCTCTTTCCTCACTATAATAAGCTCCACATGTCAACTAATGGCACACGGTCTGTTTAAATTGGTGTAGAAACGCATAGGAAAGTTGAGGAGTGTTATGGGAAATGTCCATTAAGGGGTCCGATGCGACATTAAAGTCTTCCCCCACAAGGGAACCCCCTCTCTGAATGTGGACAGCTCAGTCAGACATCATTCCAGGAAGAAAATTTGTTCTGAATTAGGAGTGCATATGTTCACCAGCACAACCAGTTCACCCGCCAGAGTACCCTTCAAAAATAGGAAGCAGCCTGTTCCATCTGTTCTTTTGTCATTATATAGCCAATTAGCTGTACAGATTAATATGCTCACTCCTTTGAACTTTGAGTCTGGGGCAGTGCTATGACATTCCATGAAATTTCATTTTTATTACTCGTACTTGTATAGCGCTGTCCATTTACATATATTGTAGATTCACATCAGTCCCTAACCCTCAAGGAGCTTAAATCTAATCTCTTTAACTCACATTCATACATACTAGAGCCAATTTAGACAGGAGAAAATTAACCTACCAGCATGTCTTTGGAGTGTTGGAGGTAACCAGAGTACCTGGAGGAAACCCATACAGGTACAGGGAGAACATGCAAATTCCAGGCAGGAAGTGCCGTGGTTGAGATTTGAACCAACAATCCTAGTGCTGCTAGGTAGAAGTGCTAATCACTTTGCCACTGTGCTGCGCACATGTGTGCAGACATCTATAATTAGCCAGATTGGGGTGGCCTGCGAATAAGCTAGGTGTGCTCATTCCTTCCATAAATCCCCCAGAACTCTGGACCTCTTTTCTGGAATATTGAGACCGATCTGTCACAGACTGATCACTGTTGTATGTTGATTGCTAGGGGCTCAGTTTCGACACACTGTGGATCAGATGGATAAATTGTTGGGTGGGGTTGGGGAGAACCCAGTTGCAAACATTGGAAGAACATTGCTCCAGGTGAGCAAGAAGGCCAATCCCAACAACGATCCCTTCTAACAGGTGCTGGCCCTGTGATAGACCAAAAAGATGAAGGAGGTTGCTGCACACCACAAAAGGGTACTGTACAATGCTTCAAAGTTTGAAGTAACAGATAATACAGCACAGGATTCCAGGGACGTTAACGTGTTTCACACAACTTAGTGCTTGATCATAACAATCATACAGTTGTGAGCAAAGTTGGGGGGGGACGGGGACACAAATTAGATGATAGTGGAACTAATGACCAATGTTGCTAGGCTTGCTAAATATTACTGTACAGTAAAAGTGAGCAAGGATAAATATTCATTTGCACAAAATTAAAAGCCAAGCCATGTACAGAAATACCAGAAGTGTGGTTAATGGAAGAATTTATTGTACATGAGGTGGATTAGATGTTGTTGGAATATCAGACACCTTGTCTGACACCTCACTTGACTAGCTAATGACTGTCCAGGGGTACTCCCTACATTGCAGGAACAGGATACGTAGAAAAGCGAGACGGGTGCGCTTTTATGCCAAGAGAGCTTTGACAGTGAATGAGGGATTACATTGCTAATGGGGCTATAGAGGAGAAGGGGTAAGGGAATCCCGGTGAGATGATTGGCGAATAGAAGTGCACGGTCGCAAACATGCACAAGCGCGTTGAAGATTGGTACCAGACGGACTATTTAAAAGGTGCCTCCGTCTGTGCTGAGTGCTGACTGGTCCCTTCAGCTGTTCCCCCATTTCCTGCTCGTTCCTGTGTAATTTCCTTGTTGCTGATCCGGCTTGTTTCTGACCTGACTCTTGATTACTCTCCTGCTTGATACTTGTTCCTGACTTTGGCTTGCTTATGATTTGGTACTTTTCTGTCAGCCCGTTGACCCCGGCTATTCCGATGACATTGCTCCTGTCTCCCATTTCAGATCCCTGCCTTGCTCTGGTGCACACCTGGTGACCTACCATACCAGCTCTGCATATCACTACTGTTCCTGAATCGGAGGTTCATCAGTCTGGAAGAGTTTGGAAAAGTCTCCAGCTGCAAGAGCTGCAAACATCTGCTGGCGATCTTGTCCCCCTGGTCCCTAGACACCCTCTGTTCCACTTCCAGTGGGGTCAGGGCTAGTGACACAAGTGAGGCCGACCTAGTCATTCCAGTCTCCTATTACTTACGTGACAGTACCAGTCAGCCAGTGATGGAGTCTGAAAGGGAGACCTCTGTGGGGACATCTGTCAATCAATCTCTGCCTGGTCTTACATGGTGCAGTGTTTGCAAAGAAACCTTGAGCATATGGAAAACCAACTACCAACCAAGTCAGATATCTCAACAGCCACGGGTCCCTCTGCAGTCTCAGACATAACTACCCAGACAGAGCTCAGCATGATTCATGGAACTTCTCCTCTACCGGAACCCCGGGTGCCAATACCGTATTTCATGGGAGACCGCAGGAAGTTTCAAACCTTTCATAACTCCTGTGAGCTATATTTTTCTCTGCTACAAAGAACCTTTGCATCACAAAGCACCAAAGTGAGATTCATTATTTAGATCCTTCAGAATGAACCCCAATCCTGAGCACACTACCTTCGTGAGCAACATAATCTGGCTCTGACTTCTATGGACTCTTTCTCAGCGATCTCACAACTTTACGCTGATCCCTTCCGTCATCAGACTGCAGAATCTAAGCTTAGCAAGCTACAGCAAGGCCAAAGGCCTATAGAGGAATATATCACTGAGTTTCGTATATGGAGTTCTGACACTCAATGGAACGAGTCTGCTCTCCGCCAACAGTTTCACCTTGGTCTCTCTAACATCTTGAAAGATGAGCTTGCCCGAGTTGGGGTACCAACCAGGCTAGAGGACCTGATTAACCTTGCCATTCAAATCGATTGATGGATCTGGGAAAGGCAAGATGAAAGAACTATCAGGGGTGTCTTGGTCTGCTCAGAAATGGAGACTCCCATCTCCTCACCCACTGCTGTCACATCAGACATACTCCCCAGCAAAAGAGGGCATCGTAATTCTCCTAGAAGGAGCTTTTGGAGACAACCGTTATCCTCTGCTGAACGTCTTCGATGACCAAACTCCAACCTTTGCCTCTACTGTGGTGATGCGGGTCACTATGTACGGACATGTCCAGTGAGATCTCATAAGCCTTCTCCTAGCTGGTTCCATATGATGCACCCCCAAGGAACAAGTCAAACGCACCTCTCCTTCCTTCACTTACAACTTGCTTAAAGAACTATTACTGTTCTAGCAATTATAGACTCTGGTGCCTGTAGCTGCTTCATGGATTTGACCTTTGCTAATCAAAACAATGTCCCTCTCCGTACTAAGACACAAAGTTTTTGGTCCATCTGGCAGATGGCTCTGGTATCAATTCTGGCCCAGTGACACGAGACTATGCCAATTTTCTGGCATTCCTCCTCGGGACATCAGGAGTTTGTATGTCTGGATGTCATAACCTCACCAATGTTCCCAGTCATCCTTGGCATGCCCTGGCTAAGGGCACACAACCCATCCATAAATTGGCTTTCCGGGTAGATCCTGTTCCCTTCCAAATACTGTCAGAACCATTGCATTCCAAAGGAACCATGCACGGTGACTCTTCTTAGTATCCATCCTGTTTCAGAGATGATGAAACTTGTCCCTGTCGCTTACCATGACTACTTGAATGTATTCAACAAGAAAAGTGCCAATGCTCTTCCCCTGCACCGGCCCTACGATTGTCCTACTGAACTTCTGCCCAGTGCTGAAAATTCCTTTTGGGTGAAATTACCCCCTCTCCGAATTGGAACTAGAGGTCCTCCGGAGTTATATATATGAAAGCCTAGAAAAAGGGTTTATTCGGCCCTCTACATCACCAGCGGGAGCTGGCATCTTTGTCAAAAAGAAAGATCATACTCTTAGACCATGTGTGGACTATCGTGATCTGAATAAGATAACAGTCAAGAACTGCTATCCTCTTCCCCTGATTTCTAAATTGTTCCAAAGGCTACTAGGGGCATGTGTCTTTGAAAAATTAGATCTGCGACGTACATGCAATTTAGTCAGAATTCGTGAAAGGGATGAATGGAAGACGGCCTTTCGAACACGCTTTGGGCATTACGAATACCTGGTGATGCCATCTGGCCTCTCTAATGCCCCAGCAACATTCCAACACTTCGTTAACGATATATTCCGGGACTATCTTGATCCATTTATCATTTACTTGGATGACATCCTAGTCTTTTCCAGCTCAATTGAACGACACTGGGATCATGTAAAGAAGGTACTGGGTAGATTACGCCAACATCGCCTCTATGCCAAAGCTGAAAAGTGTGAATTCGAGAAACAGACTATTCAGTTCCTTGGACTTGTGATTACTCCCGATGGCATTGCTATGGATCCCCAAAAGGTGACCTCTGTATAGAGAATGGCCCATTCCAAGAGACAGGAAAGTGGTACAACGCTTCGTGGGATTTGACAATTGCTATAGGAAAGTCATTAAGAACTTTTCAGGTATCATTGCACCAGTCACACAGTTAACCAGGCAACATGTTACTTTCAAGTGGACTCCCGAGGCTCAAGCAGCGTTTGAACAATTAAATACCTTATTCTGCTCTGCTCCTATCTTGAAGCACCCAGATCCTGCCTTAGCTTTTGTCCTTGAAGTAGACGCTTCTGAAGATGCTGTTGGAGCCATATTGTCACAACAACAGGGACTCAAATCCCTCCTTCACCCTGTTATCTTCTTCTCTAGAAAGTGAAGCTCCCCTGAAAGGAACTATGACGTGGGAGACAGAGCTGTTAGCCATCAAGGTGGCCCTTGAGAAACGGCGCTACTTGCTGGAGGGAGCTTGAGAACTGCAAAACGCCTAAGGCCACGGCAGGCAAGATAGGCACTGTTCTTCTCCCGCTTTGTGTTTCACTTGACATACCGTCCAGGATCAAAGAACAGCAAGCCCGATTTGCTCTCACGCATGTTTCATGACCCAATTGTACCATCCGAACCGGATACGATCCTGCCAGCTAAACATTTTTTACTGCTACAAACAGATCTTGTAGCACAAATAAAAGAAGTGGCTGATGATCATCCACCTCCCTTGGAAATGCATCTTCAGCTAAGCAACAGTCTGTATCTTCACAAAGAACAGATATAATACCAGAACTCCCATTCTTAAAAGATGTCAGGATCATCCTTTAGCTGGTCACTTTGGAATCCACAAGACCTCAAATTTGTTCTCCCATTCCTTCTGGTGGACAAATTTAATTAAGGATTGTAAGAACTATGTTAGAACTTGTTCAGTATGTCTCCAAAACAAGTCTGATAAAGCCAAAACCTGGGGCCTGTTGGAATCTCTGCCAGTACCTGAAAAGCCATGGAGTATGATTTCTCTTGATTTTATTGTAGAGCTTCCCCCATCTGAAGGGTTCACCACCATCTTTGTCGTGATTGATAGTCTGTCAAAAATGGTCCACTTCATTACCCTGAGAGGGACTCCTTCTGCCACTGAGACTGCTTCTGCTTTTATTAAAGAAATAGTGAGATTACATGGTGTTCCTAGCAATATCGTGTCCGATCAGGGAGTGCAGTTCACTTCTAAGTTCTGGAAAGTTCTGTGTGAGGCACTAGAGATTGAACTTTGCTTTTCTTCTGCGTATCATCTGCAAACAAAATGGACAAACTGAGAGGACAAACCAGACCCTTCAATACTTACGATGTTTCTCATCTTATTCACAGGATGACTGGGTGTCTCTCCTTCCATTAGCTGAATTTGCATACAATTCCATCCACTCTGCTACCAAACAGTCCCCTTTTTACTCCAACTATGGATATCATCCTTCCTTCCTCCCTGAAATGCCAGAGGAACCCACTGTCCCGGCAGTACAAGAAAGGTTGGATTTCCTCAGTAGGAACAGCCAAATGCTACAAAAAACTATTTTAGAGGCTCAAGAAAGTAACAAAAAAGTTTTTGACAGAAAAAGGAGGGGGAATCTAAATCTGAAACCAGGAGATAAGGTCTGGTTATCTACTACAAATCTGAAATTGAGCTGTCCTTCAAAGAAGCTTGGTCTGAGGTACCTGGGACCATTTACAATTAAGAGAAGGATTAACCCTGTGGCTTTTGAATGCTACCAAAGAATATGAAGATCCATCCAGTATTCCATGTCTCCCTATTAAAACCAACAATACCAAGTTTATTTCCGGGTCCTGCTCCACTGCTGGTCTAAGGTAAAGAAGAATATGAGGTGGAGGCTATCCCGGTGAGACAATCGGTGAATAGAAGTGCCCATGGGCATAGAAATGCGCGATCACGCATGTACACGCACGGTGAAGATTGGTGCCAGACAGAATATTTAAAAAGGTGCCTCTGCCTGTGCTGAGCACTGACTGGTCTTTAGCTGCTCCCCGTTCCTGTGTGATTGTCCCCCTGGTTCCTAGACACCCTCTGTTCCACTTCCAGTGGGGTCAGGGCTAGTGACACAAGTGACACAAGTGAGGCCAACCTCGTCATTTCAGTCTCCAATCAGGTACGTGAGAAGGGGTATTTATGGCTGGAGTTTCAAAGAGATTACACAAATGGTAAATGAATTGTGGGTGTATACTATAGGCCTCCTAACATTAAAGCGGAGTTCCACTCACCCTGTCAAAAAATAAGTCAGCAGCTACAAAAACTGTAGCTGCTGACTTTTAAAAAAACAGCCACTTACCTGTCCCTCGGTCCCGTGGTGTGTCTCCCATAGCCTGTTTCACCAGCCGTCCTGTATTCCAGGAGGCTGGCATCTTCAGTGTGGGCACCCGGCTATGATAGTTTGTGGCTTCACAGCCGGGTACCCACTGCGCATGCGCGAGTAGCGCTGTGCTTCATAAATGATCCTGTAGTCTTCTAGGACCTGTCATATGTCCTAAAAGACTACAGGAAGGAAGGAAGGAAGGGAGGGAGGGAGGACACCTTCCATTTCTGAACGCCTAGACAATAGGACCAGAAGTGGAAGCGGGTACCTATCAAATTCAGGTACCCGCTCCCCCACGCCCCCCAAAGGTGCCAATCTTTAATGGGGAGTGGAGGAGCAGTCCTTAAAGCGGAACTTCCTCTTTTGGGTAGAGCTCCACTTTAAGGATAAGAAGGCGACACATTTCCTTTAACCGAGGTGGTGGGGAGGCAGGACAACATTATAATCAATAGGGGCTATCCTGACATTCACTGAGCAGATGCAACTGCTAACTCAATTAACACTCATTTCTTGCACGTAATGCACGTCAATTTCATGTCAAATGGTGGAAACCCCAACTAGGAATAATGCTTTGCTGGACCTAATAATTTCAAACACAAAGCCAATTGCATATGTGGAATTAAGGGATAACGTAAACAGACAATACAGAATAATTATGTTTGCCATAAATTATAGGAAAATGAGAGGTGCGGGTAGGACAAGAACACTAAACTTAAAAATAGCTAACGTTTTTAAGCTGCGCTGTATATTACATGATACTGAATGGGATCAAAGTCTTGCAACAAAGAACACTGAAGAAAAGTAGGAATGCTTTAAAGGCGATATTAACCGCCTCCCAACCGCCATATAAGGAAATGACGGACGGGCGGTGGTTCTCTCATTCTGGGAGGATGTCATATGACGTCCCCCCACTCTAACTACGCGTGCGTGCCCCCGGGGACACAGCGGATCACTGATCAGCGGAAAGAGCCGATGACTTCCAATCACAGCTGATCGCATGTGAATAAGGAAATGCCGGTTATTGGCATTCCTCTCCTTACTAGCTGTCACGGTGACAGTTCGTGAGGTAGAGGACAGCCGGTAATTGGCTTTCCTCAGAGGGGACATCTACATGGATGATCAGTGCCCTGATCAGTGTAGCTCCATCAGTGCCACCTGTCAGTGCCCATCAATGCCACATATGTACCCATCTGAGCTGCCTTTCAGTGCCAACTATCAGTGACAGTCAGTGCCACCTATCAGTGCCAGTCAGTTCCGCCTATGAGATCTGCCAATCAGTGCCGCCTAGTTTGGATCCCCTTGTTGACAACCTTGAATCAGATTTTGACTATACTCAGAACTCAACCTGCCTTTTGACCATGGATTTGATCCAGACTACTCTTTGAACGCTGCTTGCCCTGAACCCAGACTGTCACTGGACCACTCTGCCTGTCTGCTAATCTCAAGTACCTGTTTGCTGTGCTTAGTTCACACCTGCTCCAGCATGGTGGCCAGGCACTATAGCATTGTGTATAAGACCTGGGGGCAACTGAGTACCAGTAGGCCTGCTTGCCTTATGGGAAAGGTGGTTGCTATAAGCGAAGAAATCAGAAGCCAGCTATAGTGCCTGATGACCCACGCGAGGGGAAGGTGTGACAGGCATAATGTAAACCTGGAAGTACTAACTGATAAGGTATGTTAACATGAAAAAACTGTCCTGTAAAAAATGTAAGGCCAAAGGGTCACCACTGGCATTCCAAAACTACAAAGAATGCAATAGGAAAAGCAAGAGCATGATCAGCGCAGCAAAAATAGATTATAAAGGGACACATTGCTGGAGAAAAAAAAAAAAAAAAATCAGGTTTTTTTTTTTTAAAATATATTAACCACATTAAAACTGCCTGCCTGCAATGTACTGCAGATGGGCGGCTGCTCCAGGCAAAGCAACTTACCCGTATGTCACATGCAACTTCTGGGTTTCAAGCACAAATGTGCTTGACCCCCCTCCGATTCTCCCCCGCCTTCGTCATTTGTTGCTGGAGGTGTTCATCAGTGGGTCCTGGACAATAATTTTTGCCCAGGACTCTTCTGATCTCCTGCAATGAATATAGAAGCAGACGTGTCTGTATTTGTAAATACAGGCACAATATCTAGCTGGTTCTTGTCTTCCAGGACCCTTTTTGGTCCAAGGAGAGAAGAGAGGACATCACACAGTGAATGCAAGCAGCACATTTTGCACACACGTTAGATAGGCACATTTACCCTCTGATCACCCTCATTAACCCTTTGATCACCCCTGTCACCCAGCAGGTGCCAGTGTACATTATTTTTCACTGATCACTGTATTACTGCAACAAGCGACATCAGATAGTATTAGGCTCAGTTAGCGCCTTCCCAGTCAGGGTCAGTTAGCATTAGATTGCACGCACACTATTGCACTCATGTTATAGGTCACTGATCACCGCCATTACTAGTATAATGTGTGTACTGATCAATATATTCAAAAGAAAAAAAATAAGGAAATATGTGGGATTTGTAAGGTGTTCGTAGTACCCTCAGGAAAAGATATTCAAAACATACAGGTATATAAAAATATAAAATTTTATTACAAAAAATTAAAAGCATAAAAACACAGGAGTATATAGATCCTTTTCTACAATATTAAAAGAAATGGATGACAAGCCTTCAGTACAGTGTGTTTCAACACCTCCCCTAACGTTTGTTCAACAGAATACTCATGGCATCATTTTTTTTGGTATATAATAAAGTTGTCTCAAGTTGGAGAGGTGATATGAAAAGGGACCACAGGCTGAACAAAAAAAAAAAAAATTAAATAATATTGCATGTATGCCCAACATTAGAAGTGGGTGGATGCAGGGTGGTAGATTCAAAATGGTAGGCATGCCACACACTTTTTAGGCAGAGATTTCTTTTTTTATATATATTCTTCATTTCTCCATTATGAATACACAAACCAGAAGAACCATGCAAATATACGCATCCCCACCTGCCTTGCAAACTCTAGCTTAGATCACAAAATGTGTATTTATAAAATAGCAAGTTGCACCCAAAAACATAAAAAAGAGAGAAAAAAAAGGGATTAGCCCCTTAGCAGTGTCTATTAGATGGGGGACTATATTCTTTTTGTATGCCCTGATAGAGCCGTTGCCATCGAAAAGGCACTGTACGGGGTCATCTTGGATTAAAGTCGCAGTAATTTTAAAAATGTATTTCCTCATCCATGCCCAAAATGGTTTAATTTTGGGACAATCCCACCATATATGCATATGGGATCCATGTATACTGCAACCCCTCCAACATCTATCCGACGCTGAAGGGTATGCAACCGACAACATTTTCGGAACTCTATACCACCTTGACATAAGGTTATAATTGGCCTCTTGAATCTTTGTACAGACAGGGGAATTGTGTACCACTCTTAAAAGGTTACTGTAGCAAATTGTGCATACAGAGACGGACGCGAGCATCCATCTTGCATCTCTCTCTCTCCTCCAAATCCCCCCTCCTTTTCTGTTGAGTGACACATGGTTCCTGGATGCTGAGTTCAAAAGGCATCAAGGCCCAGCGGGAGAGCTTCATTATTATTATACAGTATTTATAACGCGCCAATGGTTCGCTCAGCGCTGTACATTACATAGGGGGACAGAACATGTGACAGAACAATACCAATACAATGCAAAATATGAGGGGATCGAGGGCCCTGCTCTTTCGAGCTTACAATCTAGGAGGGAGGGGATAGTGGTACAGGAGGAGATAGCTGTGGGGGATGGAGTGGTAGGAAGAGTGGAGGAGTTCAGCAGGTTAGGAGGGGGTGGTGTAGGCTTCCCTGAAGAGATGTGTTTTCAGGGTGTGCCTAAAAGGAGAGGAGAGTAGGTGAATCTGATGGGTTGGGGCAGGGAGTTCCAGAGGATGGGTGACACCCTGGAGAAGTCCTGGAGGTGGGCATGGGAGGAGGAGACCAGGGAACTAGAGAGAAGGAGGTCTTGTGAGGAGCGGAGTGTGCGTGCTGGGCGGTACTTGGATATTAGGTCAGTGATGTAGTATGGGGCAGTATGGTGGACAGCTTTGTACGTCAGTGTTAGGATTTTAAATTTGATCCGTTGCGCAATCGGAAGCCAGTGGAGGGATTGGCAGAGGGGGGGTGGCAGAGATGGAGCGGTTGGAAAGGTGAATGAGTCTGGCAGCCGTATTAAGGATCGACTGAAGCGGGGATAGCCAGCGGTGAGGCAAGCCAGTGAGGAGGGAGTTGCAGTAGTCGAGTCGTGATATGATGAGCGATTGGATGAGCTGTTTAGTGGTTTTTGGGGTTAGGAACGTGCGTATTTTGGCGATGTTGCAGAGGTGGAGTCTGCACGAGTTTGTTAAAGATTGGACTTGGGGCTGAAAGGATAGGTTGGAGTCCAGAATGACACCAAGTACTCTAGCCTGCGGGACGGGTTTGATGGTGGAGTTGTTGGATGTGACGGAAAAGTCAATGGGGGGTAGTGTCCGAGCTGGGGGGAAGACAAGAAACTTGGTTTTGGAGAGGTTCAGTTTAAGGAAGTGGAGCAACATCCAGTCTGATATGTCGCTCAGTAGGTGTGTGATTCGGGCGGAGACCGAGGGGGTGAGGTGGGGGGTTGAGAGATAGATTTGTGAGTCGTCGGCATAGAGGTGGTAGTTGAAGCCGTGAGAGTGTATGAGTTGGCCAAGGGAGGAGGTGTAGATGGAGAAGAGAAGGGGGCCCGAGGACACAGCATTGAGGGACCCCAACAGAGAGGGGGAGTGAGGGGGAGGTGGTGGCATTATAGGTAACGCTGAAAGAGCGTTGTGACAGGTAGGATGAGAGCCAGGAGAGAGCA